TCATGCTGCAATTACAGTCAGCGCTGCAGCCTCAGAGCCAAGATCAGATACCAACTAAAAAGGACTCAACGCATGAATGAATTTGTAAGAAAAAAGTCCAAGGCACATCTGTTACTCATTCACAACACACTGGTCTGAAACGAGCCTGACGGATACAAATGGCCACGTTTGGGAACATTCACCTTTATTTCTCTGTCTCATATTTCTGGTTACAACATGTTAGGGCAGTTGGAGCTGTAGGCCCGGGACACTGGCTAAGACCTGGAGTCCAGAGACTGGCTAAGACCTGGAGTCCAGAGACTGGCTAAGACCTGGAGTCCGGAGACTGTCTAAGACCTGGAGTCCAGAGACTGTCTAAGACCTGGAGTCCAGAGACTGTCTAAGACATGGAGTCCAGAGACTGTCTAAGACCTGGAGTCCAGAGACTGTCTAAGACATGGAGTCCAGAGACTGTCTAAGACCTGGTTTAGTTTATTTATTTATTTATTTTTACATGCGAGAAGTTGTAGATATATTGACTATGATTAGTAGAGCAGAGTTTGGAGGCAACAGTCCTCGCTCAGTCTTGGTTCAGTCCTGGCCCAGTCCTGACTCAGTCCTGACTCAGTCCTGGCCCAGTCCTGGCCCAGTCCTGACTCAGTCCTGTCGCAGTCCTGACTCAGTCCTGGCCCAGTCCTGGCCCAGTCCTGGCCCAGTCCTGGCCCAGTCCTGGCTCAGTCCTGGCCCAGTCCTGGCTCAGTCCTGGCCCAGTCCTGCATTTATTCTGATGTTTTGATTGTGTTCTTAACCTGCTGTAGCACTTTGAGTCGTGTTTGCACAAGTAAAGTGTGTTAAATAAATAAATAAAAAACATGATTATTATTCTTCCACATCATCCGCCGTGTCGCAGGGTCAGGGGTTGTGTTTGTGTTTCCCGCAGACTCACTTGCACTCGCGGTCCTCCAGGTCGAAGTGAGGGTTGAAGTTGATGAGGATTCGTTGGTGAGGTCCTGGGGCAGTGATGACCCATGTGCAGCGCTGCGACGGGGGGTAGGAGCGCGGGTAATCCGGCGACGTCAGGTAACTGGCACTGGAGATACGGATGTTACCGCCACATTTGTCTGAGGAGAAACAAAATACACACATTTTCAATATTTTATTCAAATTTCAGTATTTATGGATAACCTGCAGCAATGAGGAAGACCCAGGACTGAGGCTGTAGACCCAGGACTGAGGCTGTAGACCCAGGACTGAGGCTGTAGACCAGGACTGAGGCTGTAGACCCAGGACTGAGGCTGTAGACCCAGGACTGAGGCTGTAGACCCAGGACTGAGGCTGTAGACCAGGACTGAGGCTGTAGACCCAGGACTGAGGCTGTAGACCCAGGACTGAGGCTGTAGACCAGGACTGAGGCTGTAGACCCAGGACTGAGGCTGTAGACCCAGGACTGAGGCTGTAGACCCAGGACTGAGGCTGTAGACCCAGGACTGAGGCTGTAGACCCAGGACTGAGGCTGTAGACCAGGACTGAGGCTGTAGACCCAGGACTGAGACTGTAGATCCAGGACTGAGGCTGTAGATCCAGGACTGAGGCTGTAGACCCAGGACTGAGGCTGTAGACCCAGGACTGAGACTGTAGACCCAGGACTGAGGCTGTAGACCCAGGACTGAGGCTGTAGACCCAGGACTGAGGCTGTAGACCCAGGACTGAGGCTGTAGACCCAGGACTGAGGCTGTAGACCCAGGACTGAGGCTGTAGACCCAGGACTGAGGCTGTAGACCCAGGACTGAGGCTGTAGACCCAGGACTGAGGCTGTAGACCCAGGACTGAGGCTGTAGACCCAGGACTGAGGCTGTAGACCCAGGACTGTCTAATCTACAATTCATACGTAATCTATTTTTATTATCACTTTATTACCCACTAGTATTTTTATGCTCAGCCCGTGACCAGAATGAGTTTGATGCCGCTGGCTTAGAACGTCACTTTACCACTCTGGAATCTGACGTAGCGGAGAAATATCTCCACATTTCCACAATAAAAAACCCAGAGATATCATAAAAATGTTTGAATATCTGTAACATGAGAGAAAAAGAGAAGACATCTTGAGCTGACTCTTAATCTTTCCCGAACGCTGCAGATTTACGGCTGCGTCCTGTTTCAACTTGTTCCTAAACCAAACCGTAACTCACAAAATCTGTGGATTCAGGGCTCGTTATGGTCGTTTGTGGTAAAGCCGTCTCGCCGCCAACGCTTTACATCCTGAACCACAACAACACGCTTTGTCTGCGGCGTTTGTCTTCATTTACGCCACAGCTCGCCATCTGTCGCACCTTCACAAACACCTCTGCTTAAAATCCATCAGGAGGACGTCACTGCTGCAGCTGGAGGACCACAGTGACCAATGAGGAAGAGAGAGAGCGGCCAAAGGAAGGACCAGGATGACTCAAAGCTGTGCAGAAGTATTCATACAACTTTAGTCATGTTTAACCATAAACAAGAAGATTTACAGAGACATACCCAAAATACTTTCTGTTATTGCAGCAAAAGGGGGTTTCACAAACTATTCTCGAGCTCAAACCGAGTCAGCATGTTTACATAATGGAGTCAAGAATGTTCGATGTCTTTGAAGGAAATCTGAAGTTACATTTAAAAGATCTTTGAATTAAATCTTTAGTTCAAGGGGCTCATTGTTGTACCTTTTTCCACGTACAGGGGCCCGAGTGAAGGCTCTTGTCCCAGGCACAGAGTAGTCTATCAACGGCCCTGCTCACGCCACACTATCGGACTTTTTAATGCGATTTTTAACTTTTACATAAAATTGAGAACCTTTTATTATTAAGCATTCTCCTTTATCCACATGTTCACGTCAGTACTTCTCTGCTCTGGCTCCTGTGGCTCCGAGAATAGAGTTTAAAGCAGCTGTGCTTTTGTTCAAGTCTCTCCATGGCCTCGCACTAAAGTACATCTGTGACACATGAACAACTCAGATTTTAATGTCTCTTTTCTTGTTTTCGAAGCACTTTGAGTCGCTTTTGTTTGAACTGTGTTATTTTAATAAACGTGCCTTACTAAATCTCTTTATCTTTTAGGCCTCTGACAACATGCATTATACATAACTCAGTTTTCTGGAATGTTCTGCAGACAATAGTGATAAAAAACACTACAGAAGGACATGCCTTAGTTCTTTAACGTTTAGGTTTAATAAAGCATTTTAAACACTTATACTTACTTTAACATACTTACAAACTGGCTGCATCATTCCCCCGTGGCTTAAACTTACTTTTACTCACGTAATATCAGAGACAACATTTTAAAATCAATTCAACTTCAACCAAGCTCACGGCAATCAACTGCTAGCTGTACCGCTAACTGACGTTAGCTAGCTGTACCGCTAACTAGCGTTAGCTAGCTGTACCGCTAACTAGTGTTAGCTAGCTGTACCGCTAACTGACGTTAGCTAGCTGTACCTGTAACTGGCGTTAGCTAGCTGTACCTGTAACTGGCGTTAGCTAGCTGTACCTGTAACTGGCGTTAGCTAGCTGTACCTGTAACTGACGTTAGCTAGCTTTACCGCTAACTGACGTTAGCTAGCTGTACCGCTAACTAGCGTTAGCTAGCTGTACCTGTAACTGGCGTTAGCTAGCTGTACCTGTAACTGGCGTTAGCTAGCTGTACCTGTAACTGGCGTTAGCTAGCTGTACCTGTAACTGGCGTTAGCTAGCTGTACCTGTAACTGACGTTAGCTAGCTGTACCTGTAACTGACGTTAGCTAGCTGTACCTGTAACTGACGTTAGCTAGCTTTACCGCTAACTGACGTTAGCTAGCTGTACCGCTAACTAGCGTTAGCTAGCTGTACCTGTAACTGGCGTTAGCTAGCTGTACCTGTAACTGGCGTTAGCTAGCTGTACCGCTAACTGACGTTAGCTAGCTGTACCTGTAACTGACGTTAGCTAGCTGTACCTGTAACTGACGTTAGCTAGCTGTACCTGTAACTGACGTTAGCTAGCTGTACCTGTAACTGGCGTTAGCTAGCTGTACCTGTAACTGGCGTTAGCTAGCTGTACCTGTAACTGACGTTAGCTAGCTGTACCTGTAACTGACGTTAGCTAGCTGTACCTGTAACTGACGTTAGCTAGCTGTACCTGTAACTGGCGTTAGCTAGCTGTACCTGTAACTGGCGTTAGCTAGCTGTACCTGTAACTGACGTTAGCTAGCTGTACCTGTAACTGACGTTAGCTAGCTGTACCTGTAACTGACGTTAGCTAGCTGTACCTGTAACTGGCGTTAGCTAGCTGTACCTGTAACTGGCGTTAGCTAGCTGTACCTGTAACTGGCGTTAGCTAGCTGTACCGCTAACTGACGTTAGCTAGCTGTACCTGTAACTGACGTTAGCTAGCTGTACCTGTAACTGACGTTAGCTAGCTGTACCTGTAACTGGCGTTAGCTAGCTGTACCTGTAACTGACGTTAGCTAGCTGTACCTGTAACTGACGTTAGCTAGCTGTACCTGTAACTGGCGTTAGCTAGCTGTACCTGTAACTGGCGTTAGCTAGCTGTACCTGTAACTGACGTTAGCTAGCTGTACCTGTAACTGACGTTAGCTAGCTGTACCTGTAACTGACGTTAGCTAGCTGTACCTGTAACTGGCGTTAGCTAGCTGTACCTGTAACTGGCGTTAGCTAGCTGTACCTGTAACTGACGTTAGCTAGCTGTACCTGTAACTGACGTTAGCTAGCTGTACCTGTAACTGACGTTAGCTAGCTGTACCTGTAACTGGCGTTAGCTAGCTGTACCTGTAACTGACGTTAGCTAGCTGTACCTGTAACTGACGTTAGCTAGCTGTACCTGTAACTGGCGTTAGCTAGCTGTACCTGTAACTGGCGTTAGCTAGCTGTACCTGTAACTGACGTTAGCTAGCTGTACCTGTAACTGACGTTAGCTAGCTGTACCTGTAACTGGCGTTAGCTAGCTGTACCGCTAACTGACGTTAGCTAGCTGTACCTGTAACTGGCGTTAGCTAGCTGTACCTGTAACTGGCGTTAGCTAGCTTGCTTAGTCCAATACATACTGGCGGCGGTGTTAAAAAGTTGAATTATCAATCGTGTTTAATTAAATACGTCCGTTTTACTTTATCAAACTCGAAGGACGTTATTTGATTATTTTATATCAGTATAGTTTGAATAGAAGTGAAAAAAGATAATTAGCTTATTTTTAGCACAGTCATCGTGACATCATGCTAGCGATATCTTTTGTCCCCAACGCAGTTCTGTCCAAAGCGTCACACCTGTCTCCAGCGCTACATTTGACCCTAATATTGAAATAAATATGATTGTGAATAATGCATTAGGCAGTATACACATGGTATTGATCCACATGGTTGTTATATATATAGATCATGGTTACACCTCGGAGACGTGCTTTGGGGAAAATCAATGAAAAACACTAATTAAAGTTTAACACGTGATATAAATGGTCATTGTTGGTCATGTCTCGGAACATTTGTTTATTGACAGAACTGGAGCTGGATCCCAATAGTTTAGCCTCCCGCTTTAAAAACAGCCTCAGAGAATTATATATTGGCAGCGATTCTCATTAAAACAGGTTTCACCGCGACTGGAGAAAAGCGCAGTGGGAAAGATACATGTGTAAAAAGACGATTAAATTAATGGAATTTAATTATTTCTATATTTGTTACGCTTCAGTGAAACGTGGGTTATTCTCTGACATGGCTCTTAACGAGAGCAGAACTAAACACTTATTCTAAACTGTTGACAAAAGGAACTTTATATTAGGTTATGTTGAATTAGACACGGCGCTAATGACCTATTTATCTAATATACTTATACTACAGAAGTATTACAGATACACGTGTATATGTCTTTGTTAGTATTCAGGTTTATACTTTATACTACAGGTCTATACTCTGTTTCTTCATGAAGCAAAATATGGCTATTTTATGTTATTGTTTTAAAGTATAGATTGTGCTAAAACATTCACTCTTGTGTGCTCTTCATTCTGTTCTGTAGTAACTAAGATGCAACACTGGCATTTCCCTCATAATATAATAATAACAATTATAATAATGCATCATTCAGCGCTTTTAGGACAGTTCCTTATCCTCTCTCACGGTGTGGATAAACTACAGTAGCCACAGCTGCCCTGGGGCACACTGACAGAAGCGAGTCTGTGCCATGAGGATCTCTTAATCTCTTAATCTTCAATAATGATCCAAAAGTTCCAACGGGACTCCGCAGGGGCCGCGCGTAACACGGACGTGGCTCATGGAGGTTTTAAAATAACTAAAACAGTTTTGACTCGTCAGATCTAACCGAAAAGTAAGTAACATAGATTTCAGATTTATGCTGCTAAAATAGAACAGTCTTCCTGAAAATGTGAGGCTTCTTCAATGTTCAAATCCAGGTTAAAAACAGTATCTTTTCTCTTTTTAACGCACTGTGATTATTAATGAGTGTTTGTGTCGTGTGTGTGAATGTGCTAAACAGATAAACGTGCATTGCCTCACCGTTTTTAACCGCCTCCGCCGCCAAGAGGACCGCCGTCAAAAGCAACAAAACTAATCCACAATACATCCTCCAATCCTCCCAGACAAGCGAGGCCAAAACCCAAAACAACAGCAGTACTTCCTCAGGCGTGTGTCAATAAACTCCGTGTTTTTATAATTGTTATTATTTTAAACTTGTGTGAATCCAGCTCCGCGGGTCTGTGCGGCTCCTGTCGGCTCCAGCTCGCCCCGGGCCATATCCACCCAGAGAAAGTGAAAAAGATGAAGACGGTCCTTCAATAAAGTCCTACTGATGGTTCCAGGTCCAGAACAGGACTCGGGTGATCCAGGGGCTCTGTGGGGAACAAGCAGGAGACATGTGAGAAGCTCGTCTTTCTGACACACTGCGCAGAGAGAGGCTCAAGACGCGGCTCCCTCTCTCCCTCTCTCTCCCCCTCTCTCTCCCTCTCTCTCCCCCCCTCTCTCCCCCACTCTCCCCCACTCTCCCCCTCTCTCCCCCTCTCTCCCCCACTCTCCCCCCTCCCTTCCCTTTTCTGTGTTTCGGGCTTTGACACAAACAGGTTCCAAACATTCCCCTGGAACAATAATTTACCTTCCATAGTGACCAGTGCATTCTGGTGCTTTGTCTGCGCGTTTTGTGATATTTTTAGTAAATGTATATGTTTAAATTAAGGCTGCAGTGTTTCTTATATAATTTGTCTTTACGTAAATGTATAACTGCTTATACCCAGTTGTTTAGATTGTAATACATGAGCTGTTTTTCATATTTAACCATAAAAACCCACGTATTGACCATGACGTGACTCGGTCTAAGCCTTAAACAAAAACATGATGCAAGTAAAGGCTTTAGACTCTCAGTGTTGTGTAATTATGTTATCTGAGTGAGAGATGAGAGACAAGGCCAAACAGCAGCTTTACTAAAACACTTTCATTAAACATAATTAGAATATTCTTATATGTTGGAATGTGCTTTCAAAGGGCGCGCGGAACACTCACGTTTCTGTTTAAATTGTGGTATTTCTTGGATTATTTAGTAAATATATATATATTCAGTGTTTAACCGCGTTCAGTCCGATCTTTAGAGTCTGGTTCTTGACCTGTTTTGTCCATTTTTAAAACTGAAACCTAAATTGATTTTGCGTCAAAAACAATAACAGTCTCTGTCATTTCTGCGCTTTTCTCTCTCTGCCTGAGCCTTAAGTCTCCGATCACAAAACACCAAGACAGCTGTGCATAATCCAGGTCCTTTTAACAAATTAGTCATCTCAATAATCTATCATTTTGAAACAATAGTGAACCAATAACAGAAGCTCCTCGTGACCACAAAACCATTGAAGTTCGTATTTAAATGTGTGTTTTAGTCATTTTTCCTCTTTTATCCAAATCTTTCCCATATTTCCACACATTCTAACCACCTCTCACTGCTGTAAACAGCTGTGTCTAAGATACAGGTTTTTTAATATTATTATTATTAACATTATTAACATTATTCGTGTGTTTGTGCTGCTGAAAAACTACACACACATCCGCGGGTTTCCCTGAGAATAAACCCGGGATAAATCCTTTCTCACAGTTGCACGAAACCAGTGAATAATCCACGCTACCCACTCGTGCACGCGATCTCCGTGACTCTCCGTGACTCTCCGTGACTCTCCGTGACAGTCACATCCACGGAGAGGTTCATGAGCAGGGCCCTCTCCCCACGGCTGAATAATCCTCTCCCCATTACGCACCAGTGAGTCCCCGGGAGCAGATGCGCGCTCCCGCTGCCCCCAGCAACAGTCACATATTTAGGGGAAAATCGATCTAAAGACGTAAATCTGGGTCGTTTGAGCAAAGGTTGGAGCTGAGAAGAAAGTCATGATCTAAACTGACAAGAAGTCATTTTAATCATAGGTTTGGGGTTTTTGGTTAAACTGAAAATAATAACCACTTGTATTGTACATTTTTGTTTTATATTTTGTGCGCTCTCACTATTGTCCTGTGTTTGTGAAATTCCTCCACTGTGGGACGAATGAAGGGATATTATCTTATATAGTTTGATTTTGTGAATATTACGCACAAGTCTTTCTCGTTTTGCCCAAAAAAATCACCTGTGTCTCGGGAGAAGCACAGCGGTCTGCGCGGAGCTCTGCACGAAACCCCATCCACTTTTCACTGAAGAATGTTAAGTCCTGCGCCTGATTAGTGTCATGTAAACACAGCAACACGTTCCTTTGGCTCCGGAGCGGCTTCTCCAGCGGTTTCTCCAGCCCCCGGGACTGTCAGGGCTTCTCCCCCGCGCCAAGACGCACCTCTGCCGGCTGGACTGTCGCGCTCTCCCCGCTCTCTCCTGCAGACCTCCAGCCTGGGGTTTCCCTCTTTGCCTTTTGGGTGATTTAATCCGTGTCTTTTCTGTGCGTAAACAAACAGCCGAACGCGAGGACAGCTCCAAAAGCGACGCGTAAAAAGGAGTTTAGTTCCGTGGATGTCTCCGCTCTCTCCGCTGACTGACACTGACTTTGGCTGGAGCTGGATCTCTGGCTCCGGAGTCACACACGCCCCTTTACGAGACTGGAGTGGAGGAGCATGAGAGGGGAGGAGGAGGAGGAGGAGGAGGAAGAGGAGGAGGGGGTCTGAGGAGCAGCAGTGAAGCAGAGACTGGAGCCAGCTGCCTGGTTCTCAGCGCGGCTTCCCCAGAACATAGGACAATAAGTCGGATACAGAGAGACGCGGAGGTCACGCAGATAATTAGTCATTTGTCTGAAACATGAAACATACTTTAATTATTAGTGTTTTATTAGTGTTTTATTGGTGTTTTATTAGTGTTTTATTAGTGAATTATTAATGTTTTGTTAGTGTTTTATTAGTGTTGTATTAGTGAATTATTACTATATGAAATTATTACCAAACAGCTGTAAAACATTCCAAACTTCTTTAAGATTGAACCAGTGACAAACACATGTTGAACATTGTACTTCTCCATTGGTCCAAACAGAGGTTCTCAACTGGGGGGTCGGGACCCGTTGGGACGCAGAAGTGGAGCTCGTGTGTGCGGGTCTCGAACCTCTCCTTGGAAAAAGAATCTGTTTCTGACACTGGAACAAAATATGAAAAAAAGTGACATTTTCTATAAAAAAAACTTCATATTTAGTCCATTATTCACATTTTTATTCTTAAATATTAAATACAAACTTAATGACCTTGAAATCCAGTCAGGCTTCGAACCTATGAAATGACTGCTGAAAGGCATAATAATAATAATAATAATAATAATAATAATAATAATGATGATGATGATGATGATGATGATGATGATGATGATGATGATGATGATGATGATGATAATAATAACAATTATTATTATTTTATTTTATAGAAAGGGTGAATGTTATATTACTGTGTTTCTGTGTGTTGTGACGGTGGCTGAGTGGTTAGCGGTTGTGACTCACAGCAAGAAGGTCTGAGTGGAGTTTGCATGTTCTCCCTGTGTCTGCAAAGGTTTCCTCCGGGTGCTCCAGTTTCCCCAACCACTAAACACATGTAAAGCTCCTCTCTATTAATGAAAGAATAGAGAATAGATTTGTTTTAAAACAATGTGTGAACCTTGAGAACAGAGACAGAGACAGAGGCAGAGGCAGAGACAGAGACAGAGACAGAGGCAGAGACAGAGACAGAGACAGAGGCAGAGGCAGAGACAGAGACAGAGACAGAGACAGAGGCAGAGGCAGAGGCAGAGGCAGAGACAGAGACAGAGACAGAGACAGAGGCAGAGGCAGAGACAGAGACAGAGACAGAGACAGAGACAGAGACAGAGGCAGAGGCAGAGACAGACAGAGGCAGAGGCAGAGACAGAGGCAGAGACAGAGACAGAGACAGACAGAGACAGAGGCAGAGGCAGAGGCAGAGACAGACAGAGACAGAGGCAGAGGCAGAGACAGAGACAGAGACAGACAGAGACAGAGGCAGAGGCAGAGACAGAGGCAGAGGCTGAGGCAGAGGCAGAGACAGAGGCAGAGACAGAGACAGAGGCAGAGGCAGAGGCAGAGACAGAGGCAGAGACAGAGGCAGAGGCAGAGGCAGAGGCAGAGACAGAGGCAGAGGCAGAGAGAGAGACAGAGACAGAGGCAGAGGCAGAGACAGAGGCAGAGGCAGAGGCAGAGACAGAGGCAGAGGCAGAGGCAGAGACAGAGGCAGAGACAGAGGCAGAGGCAGAGGCAGAGACAGAGACAGAGACAGAGACAGAGGCAGAGACAGAGGCAGAGGCAGAGGCAGAGGCAGAGGCAGAGACAGAGGCAGAGGCAGAGGCAGAGACAGAGACAGAGGCAGAGGCAGAGACAGAGGCAGAGGCAGAGGCAGAGGCAGAGACAGAGACAGACAGAGACAGAGGCAGAGACAGAGACAGAGACAGAGGCAGAGACAGAGACAGACAGAGACAGAGGCAGAGGCAGAGGCAGAGGCTGAGGCAGAGGCAGAGGCAGAGGCAGAGGCAGAGGCAGAGGCAGAGACAGAGACAGAGGCAGAGGCAGAGGCAGAGGCAGAGACAGAGGCAGAGGCAGAGGCAGAGGCAGAGGCAGAGGCAGAGGCAGAGAGAGAGACAGAGACAGAGGCAGAGACAGAGGCAGAGACAGAGGCAGAGACAGAGACAGAGGCAGAGGCAGAGGCAGAGGCAGAGGCAGAGGCAGAGACAGAGACAGAGACAGAGGCAGAGGCAGAGACAGAGGCAGAGGCAGAGCCAGAGCCAGAGGCAGAGACAGAGGCAGAGGCAGAGACAGAGACAGAGGCAGAGGCAGAGGCAGAGGCAGAGGCAGAGGCAGAGGCAGAGACAGAGGCAGAGGCAGAGGCAGAGGCAGAGGCAGAGGCAGAGACAGAGGCAGAGGCAGAGGCAGAGGCAGAGACAGAGACAGAGGCAGAGACAGAGACAGAGGCAGAGGCAGAGGCAGAGGCAGAGGCAGAGGCAGAGACAGAGGCAGAGGCAGAGGCAGAGGCAGAGACAGAGACAGAGGCAGAGGCAGAGACAGAGGCAGAGGCAGAGGCAGAGACAGAGACAGACAGAGACAGAGGCAGAGACAGAGACAGAGACAGAGGCAGAGACAGAGACAGACAGAGACAGAGGCAGAGGCAGAGGCAGAGGCTGAGGCAGAGGCAGAGGCAGAGGCAGAGGCAGAGGCAGAGGCAGAGGCAGAGGCAGAGACAGAGACAGAGGCAGAGGCAGAGGCAGAGGCAGAGGCAGAGACAGAGGCAGAGGCAGAGGCAGAGGCAGAGACAGAGACAGAGGCAGAGGCAGAGAGAGAGACAGAGACAGAGGCAGAGACAGAGGCAGAGGCAGAGACAGAGGCAGAGACAGAGACAGAGGCAGAGGCAGAGGCAGAGGCAGAGGCAGAGACAGAGACAGAGACAGAGGCAGAGGCAGAGACAGAGGCAGAGGCAGAGCCAGAGCCAGAGGCAGAGACAGAGGCAGAGGCAGAGACAGAGACAGAGGCAGAGGCAGAGGCAGAGGCAGAGGCAGAGGCAGAGACAGAGGCAGAGGCAGAGGCAGAGACAGAGGCAGAGGCAGAGGCAGAGGCAGAGACAGAGACAGAGGCAGAGACATAGACAGAGGCAGAGGCAGAGGCAGAGGCAGAGACAGAAACAGAGGCAGAGGCAGAGACAGAGACAGACAGAGACAGAGGCAGAGACAGAGACAGAGACAGAGGCAGAGACAGAGACAGACAGAGACAGAGGCAGAGGCAGAGGCAGAGGCAGAGGCAGAGGCAGAGACAGAGGCAGAGACAGAGACAGACAGAGACAGAGGCAGAGGCAGAGACAGAGACAGAGGCAGAGGCAGAGACAGAGTCAGAGACAGACAGAGACAGAGGCAGAGGCAGAGACAGAGGCAGAGGCAGAGGCAGAGACAGAGACAGACAGAGGCAGAGGCAGAGACAGAGACAGAGACAGACAGAGACAGAGGCAGAGGCAGAGACAGAGGCAGAGGCTGAGGCAGAGGCAGAGGCAGAGGCAGAGGCAGAGACAGAGGCAGAGACAGAGACAGAGGCAGAGGCAGAGACAGAGACAGAGACAGACAGAGACAGAGGCAGAGGCAGAGACAGAGGCAGAGACAGAGGCAGAGGCAGAGGCAGAGGCAGACAGAGGCAGAGGCAGAGGCAGAGACAGAGACAGAGACAGACAGAGACAGAGGCAGAGACAGAGACAGAGACAGACAGAGACAGAGGCAGAGGCAGAGACAGAGGCAGAGGCAGAGGCAGAGACAGAGGCAGAGGCAGAGGCAGAGGCAGAGGCAGAGGCAGAGGCAGAGACAGAGACAGAGACAGAGGCAGAGACAGAGACAGAGACAGAGACAGAGGCAGAGGCAGAGGCAGAGGCAGAGGCAGAGGCAGAGACAGAGACAGAGACAGAGGCAGAGACTGAGACTGAGGCAGAGACAGACAGAGACAGAGGCAGAGACAGAGACAGAGACAGAGGCAGAGACAGAGACAGACAGAGACAGAGGCAGAGGCAGAGGCAGAGGCAGAGGCAGAGACAGAGACAGAGGCAGAGGCAGAGACAGAGACAGAGGCAGAGGCAGAGGCAGAGACAGAGACAGAGACAGAGACAGAGACAGAGGCAGAGGCAGAGGCAGAGACACAGAGATGGATGAATGAATGAATGGCTTAAAAACTTGTCAATGAGCCTAAAGTCCACTTTGGTGCAGAACAAACAGACCAAAGATTCTGAAGAAGGTTTAGGTTCAGATTTGAAATGTCGCAGAAGTGAGATTCTGTTGTGAATAATAGATGCTGCAAACAAAGCTCCTGCTCGGCCCCAGAGTCTGTGTCGCCTTCTGCTGTTTTACAAACCTCTGCTTTATATTTCATGAGAACATGTGTCAAGGTGAGAGAGCCTCCCCCAAAGAGACTGTAGACCCAGGACTGAGGCTGTAGACCCAGGACTGAGGCTTAGACCCAGGACTGAGGCTGTAGACCCAGGACTGAGGCTGTAGACCCAGGACTGAGGCTGTAGACGCAGGACTGAGGCTTAGACCCAGGACTGAGGCTGTAGACCCAGGACTGAGGCTGTAGACCCAGGACTGAGTCTTATACAGTAGTTTATGAAGAAGTGAAAGTGTCTCTGTGTCTGTTCTATGTTTAGCTCCAGCTGCTTTTGCTCAATTGAGTGCAATAAGTGTCAACTGAGGCCGCAGTGACCAGGACTGGCCAGAGGGGGCAGTATGAGCTGGAGGAACACAGAGAGGCCAGAGAGAGACCAGAGAGAGACCAGAGAGAGAGACCAGAGAGAGAGACCAGAGAGAGAGACCAGAGAGAGAGACCAGGGAGAGACCAGAGAGAGAGACCAGAGAGAGAGACCGGAGAGAGACCAGAGAGAGACCAGAGAGAGACCAGAGAGAGAGACCAGAGAGAGAGACCAGAGAGAGACCAGAGAGAGAGACCAGAGAGACCAGAGAGAGACCAGAGGGAGAGACCAGAGAGAGACCAGAGAGAGACCAGAGAGAGAGACCAGGGAGAGACCAGAGAGAGAGACCAGGGAGAGAGAGACCAGAGAGAGACCAGAGAGAGACCAGGGAGAGACCAGAGAGAGACCAGAGAGAGACCAGAGAGAGAGACCAGAGAGAGAGACCAGGGAGAGACCAGAGAGAGAGACCAGAGAGAGACCAGAGAGAGACCAGAGAGAGACCAGAGAGAGACCAGAGAGAGAGACCAGAGAGAGAGACCAGGGAGAGACCAGAGAGAGAGACCAGGGAGAGACCAGAGAGAGACCAGGGAGAGACCAGAGAGAGAGACCAAGGAGAGAGACCAGAGAGAGACCAAGGAGAGAGAGACTAGAGTGAGGCTGTAGATCCAGGACATTGTAAACACAGTTTAAATAGGACTCCCTCCATGTGCTCCGGTTTCCACTACCTCTAAAAACATCGCATCTATCTTAAGGAATAAATACATAATTATTTTTTGATGAAATGTTCTTCACAGAGAGTCTGACTCTTAATGTGACTCGTGTGTTTCCCAGAATCTTGGAGCTGTTGCTGTAAAAGTATTTTCTGCTGCAGACAATAGTTAAAGATGTTATTACCTGAATATCTAAGAGCTGCTCCTGCTTCACAAAGGAGCGATAAGAAACGTCAGCACAAAGAGGATGAAGTGTCTCCGCTGTGGCTCGGGGTAATTCTCCTTCCAACAGATAAGACCCACGTCACGCCGTACGGCGTCTTTATCAAAGCCAGCGCTAACAAGGCGCCGCAGAACAATAGGTGCCAGAGATTCACAAGAGCGAGGCCGGCGGCTTCATTCACTCAGAAACACCAGCACGTGTTAAAACCACTGCTGCAGCTAAGCTCCTGTACTGATTAAAGCTCAGGAGAGGAAGAGGAAGGTGGGAAGCTTCCTCAGAGCCTCACAGGCCTCTCTGCTGCTGTCTCTGTGTCATCCTGACCTGCTGTAGTCTGTTCATTGCTATACACCCGCTGTCCCTTTGTCTTTCACCTGCACAGGGAAGACCGCCACCATGACGACGGAGACCTGCTCTGAAACTCTCGACCTCAAACCTCCTGCTGAACGCTCAGAGACAGATCCAGTTGCGTCGCAGTCGAAAAGTCTCAATAAAAGTGAAATCACCGCTGATTTTGTTCATCTGCATTTTCCTCAAATGCCGCCATCACCGCCACCGTTCCTCGCCGTGACCCCTCCCCCCCCCTGTCTCTGATCACGCTCCGGTGCTTGATTATAAATGCCCAATTCAGAATGTGAATTTAAAGAGGATTGAGGCGTCTCTTCTGCAGAGTCTGATCTTTCTCTGTAATTTATATTTGTACTTTATATTTTCCTATACCCTACCCTACTCTACCCTACCCTACTCTACTCTACCCTACTCTACCCTACCCTACTCTACCCTACTCTACTTTACCCTACCCTACTCTACTCTACTCTACCCTACTCTACCCTACTCTACTCTACCCTACCCTACTCTACTCTACTCTACTCTACTCTACCCTACCTACCCTACCCTACCCTACTCTACCCTACCTACCCTACCCTACCCTACTCTACTCTACCTACTCTACCCTACCCTACACTACCCTACTCTACCCTACTCTACTCTACCCTACTCTACCCTACTCTACTCTACTCTACCCTACTCTACTTTACCCTACCCTACTCTACTCTACTCTACCCTACTCTACCCTACCCTACCCTACTCTACCCCTACTCTACTCTACCCTACCCTACTCTACCCTACTCTACTTTACCCTACCCTACTCTACTCTACTCTACCCTACTCTACCCTACCCTACTCTACCCTACTCTACTCTACTCTACTCTACTCTACTCTACTCTACCATACTCTACCATACTCTACTCTACCCTACTCTACCCTACTCTACTCTACCCTACTCTACTCTACCCTACTCTACCCTACTCTACCCTACTCTACCCTACTCTACTCTACCCTACTCTACTCTACCCTACTCTACTCTACCCTACTCTACCCTACTCTACTCTACCCTACTCTACCCTACTCTACCCTACTCTACTCTACCCTACTCTACTCTACTCTACCATACTCTACTCTACCATACTCTACTCTACCCTACCCTACCCTACTCTACTCTACCATACTCTACTCTACCATACTCTACTCTACCCTACTCTACCCTACTCTACCCTACTCTACTCTACCCTACTCTACTCTACCCTACTCTACCCTGCTCTATTCTACCCTACCCAGCTCTACCCTACTCTACCCTACTCTACTCTACTCTACCCTTCTCTACTCTACCCTACCCTACTCTATTCTACCCTACCCTAAGTTTTTATTTATTTTTATTTATATACCGCCTTTTCACTGCAGATCTGAGTCTCAAAGCGGTTTACAATTGTTAATTATGGGCATTTGTCTCTCACTTCACACAGAGATGGGAGGGGCCAGTACAGGAGGCACATGCCAGACCTATTGTACATATTTTTAGTGGTAGGGGAAACCGGAGTACCCGGAGGAAACCTACGCAGACACGGGGAGAACATGCAAACTCCACTCAGAAAGGCCCTGGTCCGACCGGGATTCGAACCCAGGACCTTCTTGCTGAGAGGCGAGAGTGCTATCCACTCAGCCACCGTGCCACCCTACCCTACTCTACCCTACCCTACTCTACCCTACTCTACTCTACTCTACCCTACTCTACTCTACTCTACCCTACTCTACTCTACCCTACCCTACTCTACTCTACCCTACCCTACTCTACTCTACTCTACCCTACTCTATTCTACCCTACCCTACTCTACTCTACCCTACCCTACTCTACTCTACTCTACCCTACTCTATTCTACCCTACCCTACTCTACTCTACCCTACCCTACCCTACTCTACTCTACTCTACCCTACCCTACTCTACCCTACCCTACTCAATTCTACCCTACCCTACTCTACCCTACCCTACCCTACTCTACTCTACTCTACTCTACCCTACTCTACCCTACTCTCCTCTACCCTACCCTACCCTACTCTACTCTACCCTACCCTACCCTACTCTACCCTACTCTACTCTACTCTACCCTACCCTACCCTACCCTACTCTACCCTACTCTACTCTCTCCTGATTGGGAGTGTTTCCTCTGGTCCAGTCCCAGGTTCTTCTTTAGTCCCTCTTGGTCCTGGTTCTATCCAGGCCGAGCTGGTACTAAAGTGTTCTGACAGGGATTAGCCAGAGGGCTGCTTGAAGACATGGTCACCAAGGAATTTACCCGGAGTCCCAGCAGGAGGCCAGTCCCTGTGCTCCTCAGAGTCCCAGCAGGAGGCCAGTCCCTGTGCTCCTCAGAGTCCCAGCAGGAGGCCAGTCCCTGTGCTCCTCAGAGTCCCAGTAGGAGACCAGTCCCTGTGCTCCTCAGTCCCAGGGGGGAGGGGAGAGCACGGGGGAGGAGGGGTGAGGAGCTGTCAGGGAGACGTATGTAGGTCAGAGGAGAATAGCTGTGATGCTGTAGCGCGGCTAAGCTAGCTGATCTGAGTCCTGCTGAATCCGTCTTGAATCATGAAAGATTAGCTCAAAAATCACCTTTTTTGCAAACACACAAACACATGAGAAACATCGCCCTTCGTAATCCCCAGACTGAGTCTGCTTCTTAGTTTGTTATTGTTGTATAAATGGTAAAAAAGACACATGCAGAGATTTGAGTTTATAATTATAAAACATATATTTTCTTACTTTTAAAACACAGTAAGACTGAACCACACTGAGGTCCCTGTGTCTGTGGAGGAGCTGTAGACCTGGTGTAGACCTGGTGTAGACCCGGTGTAGACCCGGTATAGACCCGGTATAGACCTGGTATAGACCCGGTGTAGACCTGGTATAGACCCGGTGTAGACCCGGTGTAGACCCCGTATAGACCCGGTATAGACCTGGTGTAGACCCGGTGTAGACCTGGTATAGACCCGGTGTAGACCTGGTGTAGACCCGGTGTAGACCTGGTGTAGACCCGGTGTAGACCTGGTGTAGACCCGGTGTAGACCTGGTGTAGACCCGGTGTAGACCTGGTGTAGACCCGGTGTAGACCTGGTGTAGACCCGGTGTAGACCTGGTGTAGACCCGGTGTAGACCCGGTGTAGACCCGGTGTAGACCCGGTGTAGACCCGGTGTAGACCCGGTATAGACCTGGTGTAGACCCGGTGTAGACCCGGTGTAGACCCGGTATAGACCTGGTGTAGACCTGGTATAGACCCGGTGTAGACCCGGTGTAGACCTGGTGTAGACCTGGTGTAGACCTGGTGTAGACCCGGTGTAGACCCGGTGTAGACCCGGTGTAGACCTGGTGTAGACCCGGTGTAGACCCGGTGTAGACCTGGTGTAGACCCGGTGTAGACCTGGTGTAGACCTGGTGTAGACCTGGTGTAGACCCGGTGTAGACCCGGTGTAGACCTGGTGTAGACCTGGTGTAGACCTGGTGTAGACCCGCTGTAGACCCGGTGTAGACCCGCTGTAGACCCGGTGTAGACCCGCTGTAGACCCGGTGTAGACCCGGTGTAGACCCGGTGTAGACCTGGTGTAGACCCGGTCTGAGGTTCCTGCTGTGGCAGTGTAATGAGAGGAGGCGTCGTCACAAACGTGTGTTTTCTGTAATGTCCGTTTATCTTCAGACCCTTCAATTTACCTCAGCCTCGTCCCAGCGGCTCCGGGTTTAGACCTGGTCTGGGTTAGACGAGGCAACTGTGGAGACCGCAGTGTGTGGAATACTAAATACTAACACTAATACTAATACTAATACTAATACTAACACTAACACTAACACTAACACTAATACTAACACTAATACTAATACTAATACTAACAATAATACTAATACTAACAATAATACTAATACTAACAATAATACTAACACTAACACTAATACTAATACTAACACTAATACTAATACTAACACTAATACTAACACTAATACTAACAATAATACTAATACTAATACTAACAATAATACTAACACTAACACTAATACTAATACTAATACTAACACTAATACTAACAATAATACTAATACTAACACTAATACTAACACTAATACTAACAATAATACTAATACTAACAATAATACTAACACTAACACTAACACTAATACTAATACTAACACTAATACTAACACTAATACTAATACTAACACTAATACTAACACTAATACTAACAATAATACTAATACTGATACTAATACTAACAATAATACTAACACTAACACTAATACTAATACTAATACTAATACTAACAATAATACTAACACTAACAATAATACTAATACTAATACTAACAATAATACTAACACTAACACTAATACTAATACTAACACTAATACTAATACTAACACTAATACTAATACTAACAATAATACTAATACTAATACTAACAATAATACTAATACTAATACTAACAATAATACTAACACTAACACTAATACTAATACTAATACAAAAAACTAATACTAATACTAACACTAATACTAACACTAATGCTAATACTAACACTAATACTAACACTAATACTAATACTAATACTAACAATAATACTAATACTAACACTAATACTAACACTAATGCTAATACTAACACTAATACTAATACTAATACTAACACTAATACTAACACTAATACTAATACTAACACTAATACTAATACTAATACTAATACTAACACTAACACTAATACTAACACTAACACTAATACTAATGCTAATACTAACACTAATACTAACACTAATACTAATACTAATACTAACAATAATACTAATACTAATACTAACACTAATACTAACACTAACACTAATACTAACACTAATACTAACAATAATACTAATACTAATACTAATACTAACACTAACACTAATACTAACACTAACACTAATACTAATGCTAATACTAACACTAATACTAACACTAATACTAATACTAATACTAACAATAATACTAATACTAATACTAACACTAATACTAACACTAACACTAATACTAACACTAATACTAACAATAATACTAATACTAATACTAATACTAACAAT